ATACTCTAGAAGTAATAAATAAACAAAAAAGGTGGAAGATGAGAGCAACACCAGAGTCCACTTTTATGAACAACGTACATATTTACCTTACATATTTCATAAAGAAGCAAAAGAAACCTTGAAATGCAAACTAAAACAAGTAATTTATAGTTTTTCTTTGGCTCCATTGGTCAGAAAATAGAAGTTGTTATATCTACCATTAATATTTTGCTCAGTGCTGCTTTTCTGCAAGACTTGTTCAGTCAAAACAATTAAAATAAATGATCAGTTTAAAGCACTTCTGAAATATTGCAGCTAGTGGAAAATAATGCATAACAGTATAATGATTCTTGTTTCATGCATGAGAAAGTCTTCTGAAGCTATTACTCTGGCCTCTGTATTACAATAAAGTTATTAAATTGTTTCTTCCATGCTCCCTCATGATGTGCTTGACTCCCCTAGTGAAAGAAGGTATGCTTGTATGTTTGCTATCTGTTCTGTAACCAAGTCGCTTGTCAAACTAAGTGAATGGAAAGAAACCCTCCCTCAGTGAGCAGAGACTTTGAATAAATACTGATTCAGAATTTATTCTTTCTCTTGTTCTTTGGGTTTTAGAAACAGTTCTTCCTCACTCTTTGTTGAAGGAAATTTCCACAACAGAGGAGCCCACAGTGAACTGATATGCAAAGGGAACAGAAATCCCACAGCTTGGAGTTCAGAGGGTTAATGAATCCAGAGACGCCGCTTTTCTGACAGAACTGAATCCCACTTCATTATCGAACACTAAATTACAGTAGAGTGTTTCAGTTTTTAGAAAATTAATACAAAACCAAACAGTGATTAAAAGGAGTCATTAGAGAAGGCGTCTGTGGTGGGCAGAGATGACCCCGGTTCCTTTTCACAGCAAAGCTGAAAGGCCCCTTTCTGACAAACATTGGCTGGTTTAATCAGTTTGCTGTGTGCAGGCAGTTTTCACTTTTTTAGAAAGAACAGGTGATGGTCAAGAGGAGAGATGAAAAACCTTTCTATAGTGTTCTCCTTAAGGGTGTAACAACTCTGACTAAACGCCGAGTTAAACCACAGCAAATGATGAGAGGGAGACGTGTAGTAAGGCTGATCATTTCCTGTTCATGAATCTGATTGGGATGCCTCCTGAGCACTTCCCTTCAGAGGTTTTCCAGACATGTTCTATCTACTGGGACATGTCACAATAATTATTTTCTTTTCAAATGATGTTGAACAAGTCTGGAAGGAGCCCAGAAGTCACTGGAGGGATTTCATCTCTTCTACAGCATGTTGGGATGCCATTGAATGAGCTGGAGTATGTTGCTGATGAGAGGCATGTCTGGCTTTAGAGCCTGTCATCACTCTTGTATTGGCAGAAGACAATAGATGGATGAACGAGGTTTATGCATCTCCAAATAGTTATCTGTCTCTCTATAAAGTTTTTATGTTTGTTCTTTATGGTAGCTTTTGTGTTCTGGTTTTTATTTTTCTGCTCTTTTCTATTTGCAAATTATTTAATTTTCATGTTTCTCATTAAGTTTTCTAATCCGTTAAGCTTGACTACTTTTCTATTGTTACTTTATAGCACACGTAAAAATACATTTTAACACGGTGTCTTTAGACCAGTGCTTCTCAATTATTTTCCGTTACGCCCCCCTAGCAAGAAGAAAACTATTCGCGCCCCCCACTCCCCACCGTGACTATCCATCTCTGCATAACATTTTTTCCTTATTAACATTTTTTTTTCGCTGAAAAACTCTAGCGTTATCGGCGTGATTGGGATGTAACGTATTTAAGTGACGCGCTAATTTATTTGGCTTCATGCTGTCCGCTGCGAGCATTTTTAGACACAGCAAACACACCGGTCTTTCCTCTTCTCCAACTGTAGTCACAGTGAAGCCAAGCGCTAAATACGCTTCGTCGTATTTCCTCTTAGCTTTCGGTTGACTTTCTGTTGTCTCATTATCTTTGTCTCTCTCCGCTTTTCTTTTCATCCCTGTGAAAAACTTTTTCATGTTGGGGGTTGTTGAATAACGGAGGCCAGAGACAGAACGCAGTCGGAGCTTTTTGTTGACTTAACATTGCTAACCAAGGCAAACCTGTTGTCTTGTAAGTCGTAAAATGTTGCACTGTCGCAAACGTGACAGAAGTAACAATGAGAGCGCCACTGCCGCCTACTGTGCGCAATTACACTTTATACTAGTTCGGCCAAAAAAAAGCCTGTTCCCCAGGATCACACGCGCCCCCCCCAGGTAACGCACCGCGCCCCCCAAAGGGGGCCCGCCCCACTATTTGAGAAGCACTGCTTTAGACACATCAATAAGCCTGGTGCTTATTGATGTGAAGAATGGTGCTGACTTATTCAGTGCTACATCAAAACATTAGAAACAGGGAAGAAAAACAGAAATGCTACTTCAGGTTGCTTAGGAACCTTTTTGGCATTGTGGCAGAAACTCATTACACCTGAGATAATGTGATACTCCAACACTTAACAGTGCTGCTCTGAGAGAGACACATACAAGAAGACTCACACATCCAACAACTTCTGGTTTACAGAGTACATTAATTCATTCATTCTACGTCAGTGTCACATCAAGTTCCCCTTCAGTTCATGTAGCTGTCATTCTTCGTCTTTAAAGGTTCATAATGTTTATATTTTTATCAGAAATTGTGTTTATACATAGAACTTCACATTGTCTTTTTTTTGTGTGCGTGTGTTGTCTATTCGCGGTGTGTATTGATAATATTCTCCAAAAGGTCTTATAGCCTAGAGTTTTCCAATCAACAGTAAAATCAACATTTTCATTCTTGAGCTACATTGATCAATACAGAAAATAACTGAAACTATGGATCAAAACAACTCAAGCGTTTTACGTTGCACGTCTTTTAAACACCTCGTTGGCCTTGCATACAGTTTTAACAAACTTTTTCTGGTCTTGTAAAAATATATTTTTTAAGAGAAATAGTTTTTTTTTTTATTTTATGTTGAGAAAACTTGAATTGATATCAAACACAATGACATTGTGCGCATTGAACTGCACGTAAAATCAAGATATTTGAATTTCAGGGCCGAGCAGAGACCTTAGGAGGGGCAGGGGCTCAAAGTTAAAAAAGGGGCACATTGAAGTGTTTGAAGATCTCCAAAAACCTTACAACAACATAGCAACAATACTTATTAATCAAGAATCTAATATTTAATTGGATCATACTGTCATCATGTGGGGGCAATGCAAAGCAAATGTAGTTCATGTTTCCTGATATAAAGTTGCCTGGACGGCTGAGTTGATCTGAGACTGTAGTTGTTAAACAGAGCAGAGGAGAGAAGGTCAAAGGTTATAAAGTTATGAAATAAGCACATTTGCTGCTATTTTACTAAATAAGCCCCAATAATATCTAACAACTTGGCTGCAGGTTGATGTAAAGATCAAAGAAGCTCAGAGAGGTTAACTCTACACCATTCTTCTATGTTAGCTCCTCTGAGATCTAGAATTGTAAGGTTGTGAGAAATCAAGGCAAAGAAAACTCAGTAGCTGCTGGTAGGGGCCTCCAAACATTCAGGGCCCCCCCCCCCCAGACATTCAGAAACGGTTGAATTGTAACACAGACCGTCGATCTAAACCTGTAGTTTTAATTCTTTGAAAAAGATAATGTTATTAAATTGTATTTAATGCATTCAATAGAGGAAATAAATAAATACTACATTTGAGATTTAATTAGGAAGTTCACTTTGTAAAAGTTTAAAGAATCATCTTGATAGTTTAATGAGGGTGCTACCATGGCTACAACATGATGCAATCTTTGGGTTTGTTCACAAATACATCACCGCGACGCAATCATCAGCTGCATTGCGGTGACAGTCCGCTGCTGTTATTTTACATCAGGATGTCTGATATAAAGACAGACCCAGGCTGCCTGTAGCGAACTGGGGCATTTAGTCCAGCACTGGGGCAAAAGGATGAAGTTAAAGTCAAAAGTTTTCTCTGCAGCCGAACCATTTCTGTGTTTAGGAGAGAGGAGGATGTTCCCGCTATTGCGAGGACTGTTACAAAAAAATAAATAGAAACAGTTTTTCTCACTTCAACATCAGACCTACGTTTTATCTACAAACAATTGTATGTTAGGAATAAATATTGTTTCCCATAATTTGATACTTAGAGCCCCCCCCATCCCCCTCCCTCCTCCTCACCATGGGCCAGATGCCTGAACAACATGGAGGCAGAGAAACCGAGAATCTCACTAGACAAGGGTAGCCAGACCAGTTTATGTTGCTAAATTATTTTATCTTGCTACATATTGTTTTCGATGGACACAAAAAGTAAATAAAAGAAAAGAAAAGTAAAGAAAAGAAAAAGGAAATCAAAAAGGCCACTGGGGGCATCAAGGATGAAAAGTTCAGGGCTTCAAACCCCCTCTGTTGAATTATTACTCACAGTGATATTAAACTTGGTAAGTTGGACCATTTCAAACTAGATGGGAGATATTGTGAAATTAAAAAGATGTTAATTGGTAGAATGGAATATGTACATTTGCCCCCGCAGCAATGACCGTCTCCAACATGTTACCCTGAAAAGTCTGCGGTGTGTGTGGGCCAGCAGGCTCTTCCTCCCACTGCACAGAAACAACGTGGAAACACAGAGCTGAGGTTCAAAACCTGCAATCCTCTAAATCATCCGCAGAACGAGTGCCAGCGCTGCTCTCTCTCTCTCTCCATCTTCATACTTTAAGGGCTCAGTTGTTTTCCGTGTCGCCGAAGAGAGGAAAATAAAGATGTCAGTGTGATTTACAGCCCGTGTTTTGATCCAGACGCCCCAGAGATGGAGTGATGATCGCTTCCTTAGCCCACCTTTCAAATGTGGGCGTTGTTGAAAACTCCTAAAGCACGGAGGCGTTGGGATCGCTTATGCAGCACATTTGTTTCTCATTGGTCGGCGAGCAGGAGTTGATCCGATGACACAGGCGAGGCTCCGCAGATAAAAAGGAAGGCGACGCGAGAGGAGGAAGTGTTGGTCGGAGCACAGAAAGCCGCGAAGTATCTGTCCAACTCCTGAGGTAACGACTTTCACTTTATCCTCTTATTCAGCTTGGGAACTTTAATGTAAGTCACTGTTGTTTACTTCCTTATTCAATTCTTTGTGAAATATTCAGAGGGGGAAAAAAAACATTTTTGACGCGCAATTACGCACAGCGCACGAATCCAAAACGCACCAATACAATAGGTTGTGTGTGTGTTTTATTTGTTTTTGCAGATCGGTGATACTCTAGAGACAAAAAAAAAAGTTCTTCCATCTTCCCAGGTGAATGTTTTCCATGAGTCTGTAAAGTCCTGGAACATAACCGTTCTGTTGGCCTGCCTTTGGTTTATGTGCGCCGGCGAATCAGCTGAAGAATGGAGTGGTACGTCCTGGTGTTGATGCTGAGCCTGCCGCCCTCCGTGCACACGGACTGCTCGTCACAGTGCCAGAGATGCGCCGAACAAATGCTGCGCCCCGAGGCCGCTCTCAGCAGTCTGGTAAGATCAACTTTACGCGGGGACGCAGAGGAGAGGACAGGGGTGCTTGTCTGGTTTTAATGTTCTAATTAGAATCAGACAAGACAAAAACAGACTAATCTAAGATAAAACTGGAATTGCAGAGAGGAAAACTTTTATTCAATAACTTTGAAAGAACTTTACTTAATTCAAGACACAGATAGCTTTGAGGCTGAACATTTAGAACATGGTGCTGGTGATTAGAAAGTGATTGTCATATCTGCACTTTAATGAAGCCTCCCCGAGTTAAGTGCAGCCGTCGTATCTCACGTGCGTGTCTGTATCATCTCCAGTCGTGCAGCGCGGAGTGTGACGAGGAGGAGCTGGAGAGCTGCGCTCCGGCTCCGCGGCTGGCCGACTTCACCGAGGACCAGGGGGCGGAGGCGGAGGAGAGCCAGCAGGCGGAGCTGGTCAAGCGCTACGGCGGCTTCATCAAGAGGATCGACAAGAACAAGAACAAAGTGTTCGCCTCCTCCCCGTGGCGCGACAACTCCGTCCTGAAGGCCGCGGCTCTGCCCGGGAACTACGAGGAGCTTCTGAAGCGCCTGGAGGTGAGAGGCGCGCCCGACGCGCCGGAGCCCATCCCGCACACTTACGTGAAGCGCTACGGAGGCTTTTTACGCAAATTCGGCCCCAAATCAAAAAGGAGGATCTCTGCGGAGGAGGAAGGCCAGGAGCCCGAGGAGCTCCAGAAGCGCTACGGGGGCTTCATGCGGAGGGTCCGGCCGAAACTCAATAACTTGAAATGGGACAAACGCTACGGAGGCTACCTGCGGCGCCACTTCAAGTTCTCCGTCCGCTCTGCGGAGGAGCCCTACTCTTCCTCCTCCTCCTCCTCTGCGGAGCTCAACCTATAGGGGCCCGCAGGAAGAACTCACACCGGTGACTTGTCAGAAATCGTTTCCTGCTCATTCCTGTCTGATTCCACTCATCTGTCACCATCTGTTGGTCAATAAACCATGTCTGTTTATAAGGGTCCTGTTTAGGCCGGTTCCGTCCCTGCTTGTCCCAGTTCGTCATAGCGCAGTTCCGATGGAGCGGTTCTCCCTCCAGACTTCCTGGAAGTTTGGCCAAGATGAGAACACGATCAGAGGAAATAGATAGAACAGCCAGAGTTTAGGTCCATCTGGCACCGGTGAGCATCCGAACGGATCATGTATGTATTTATTTGTTCTGAAATTAAACTCTTCAAATACAATAACTGGGGAAATTTGATGTGGTGCCAAATAAAATAAAATAAATAAAAAAAACTTCAACATTTTTAAGGAATTCTTCTAGTCCACGCAATTTACCTTAATGAAGAATTTCTCCTGTAATTTCAGATTTTTAAAAAAAATCAATCAATTGAACATCTTATACGTCATATCATAAAGGTGAAACATTTGTATTCTTTTTACCAAGCAGAGTTCTTGCGCCCCCTCGCGGGGAAACAGCGAAACGTTTTGCTCCATCTCGGACAACCCGGAGCAGGTTACCATGGCTACGCCAGATGAACGAAATCACGGAAGTGTTTCTGACTCCTGTAACTGTTTGCCAAAATGCTTTAAACTATGTTCAAGGCTTCCAGCTGACAAAAAGTTGTAAAAAAGTAATAAAGTAACAGAAGATAACGAAACAATTTTTTTGTTCCTCTCAGTCTCTTTGTGTGCGTCTTACAGATGTGAACGTGGGAAAGATCTACAGTAGAATTACAATTTTTATTTTTATTTTTTACTTTTGGTCTGGAGACAGTATTTAAGGGTGGAGTGGAGGAGGATGCAATAAATGTTTCCCATAAAATATTAGTTTTAAGCCTTGGAGTTCTTTAACAATGATCCACCATGTCACACAGGCTGTGTCTGTTCCCTGGTTATCAGGTACAAAATAATGTTTAAAGCTGTAGTACGTAACTTTCATAAACAATGTTTAAAATTTGTTAAAACTGTCACTATATACTCACACCTAATCCTTCCAGTTTCTCTGCCTCCTCTCTGTGGTCTTACTGCCATCTGCACAAATACACCGCTCTGTCAGAAACAACCAATCAAGAGTAAGGAGGAGTGTCAATCACACTAGCGTAGCCTCTGCTCATATTGCCCATCTTTCTCTCTGCTGCGCTAAAGCTGAAAACTGCCATGACAGCTCCTCCATTACAGCTTATTAGACTTTGCCTCCATTTCACTAGCATTTAATGAACAAAGGGGAAAAAAATCTACCAACATATTCATGTATTTAAGTTGCACCTGTACCTTTTACCACCCTTAACAACAGACGAGTCAGTCAGCAGCATCTCTAACCCCCATACCAGAATAAACCCTCCAGAATAATCCATTTTTGTTCACTCGTTTCCTGGCCTTCATTTGTGACCTAAAGAAGCAGAGGGACGTTCACTTAAGTCTATAGATTTTCATAAAAATGGTAAAATCCTGACACAATAAACAGTTGAGACAGAGTATTGATTAATCTTCTCGTGGTAAGAAGATTAATTAGGTTGTTTGGGTCGGGATCGGCTGAAACTCCGGAAGGGCCAATACCACACTATGCGAGAAGAGAGACAGACCCCTTCCTGTTTCTCACTTCGAGGAGCAGGTCGTTCCCTGAAGAAAGTTAGAGTGGTGTGTAGTTTTGCGTCGAATGGAAAATAACCACCAAGCTGATGTTTTATCAGCCAGCAAATGCACACAGTGAGACACTGTTCACTTCCAGAGCATTTAATCCCAAATAAAGGAGCATGTTGTGCTTCTAGAAACGGCATGAAACCTGGTGGTCACATGCTTTGTCAGACATCTTGGTTAAAAACAGGATTAAAGCAGAGAAGGAGACGAGACACACAGTCAGCTGATGCTGAAATGTGAGACAAATAGATGAGGAAAAGTTAAAAGTTTGTCCAGCTGATATTCGTCACGACTTCCTGAAAGCAGTTCCAGTCCAGACTAACTGGGAGCCCAGCAGCTGTTCTTTGTCTCATTGCTGCTCCTCTTCCTCCTCCATTGCCTGCCCTGGCTGACCTTCCTCCTCCCCGTCAGCCTGGCTCACCTCCTGCAACTCGTCAGCAGCCGATACCGTGGCGTCCACCACGGTGACGGTGCTGACCTGCTGCTGCACCACGGGGTTCTGAGTGGCCAGCGGCAGAGTGACCAGCTGGAACTGTGGCCCCACCACCTTAACGAAGGATCCGGAGGCGCCGGAACCCGCGCCGGCTCCCTGAGCGGTCGCCGCGGACAACACCGTCACGTTGGAGCCGTCGGCCCCGAGCTCAGAGCCCGAGAGCGGTGAGGTGAGGAGGGTATAGCTGCCCGGCTGGGCCCCGGCCACCGTCAGACCACTCAACTGGCCAAGTGGCAGGGCTATCTGAGTGGGCGTGGCGTTGACCGCAGCCGGGCCGGAGACGGCTCGGGTCAGCCGGGGTCGTTTGGCTGCTGGTGGGGACGGCGCCGGGGTCAGGTTCATCAGGACGTTGTTGAGGTGCTGAGATTTACTCTTCAGCTCTTTGGCTCGCTTCCTGTGCTCATCACACTGCTGCTCCAGAGCTGCAGAGGGAGACAGACCCAGGCAGGCAGAACATTATGACCACCAGCAAATCTCACCTAGACTAATTAGTACCCAACTATATTCTTAGACAGTTGAGTCAGAAAATTTGGAAAATTTTCAGAAGACTTTCTTTCCCCAGATTTCTGATACATAAATAACATAAAACACCAAACTGTAAATGTCGCTGGTTTTTCGAGCTGTAAAGTTTAAACATCTTGCTCTAAAAACTAGTGGGGCTGCTTTTGTGGGAACTGTTGCCTAGCAGCAGAAACATCCTGGGTTTGGACCCTGGAGTTTCCATGGTCCTGCATGGATTCTCTCTGGGTTGTCTGGCAGTTAATTGTCATTTTTAAAATGCTTTATAAATAAATTGACACAAACAGAAACAAGACTGCTAAGGTCACTGGTTTCTAAATTGTTCTAAGGTGTGTTTGTGTGGCCTTGTATTAGATGGATTGTAAGGACTATTTTTCTTACGCACTCTCCTTAAGGAGCCCAAAGTCTGGGCCCCAGGAAGAGCAGTGCTGATTTTGGAGTAGGTTTAGGACGAAGCTAAGAAATGACTGACTAAGAGCTAAAACATACTTCTAAACCAAAACAGAGTGTGGGCATGTCTCCAGACCTCAGTGCTACAGCAAACCTGTAGATGGAGCTAAAGCTCTGAGTGTAAAGCTGATGAAGTTTCTGTTAAGAGAAATCCATCCAAACCTTTCCTGAGATGTAATAAGACCCAGAGAACAACTTCATGTGTCATTTCTTTACTTGCTAATAAAGGTTTCATAAAGGCAGCTGCTGCCAGATGCTAAGAGCCTCAAACTACCGCAGACCTAGAGGAGCCACATGCTGACAGGAGTTCAAGGAAGGGGTCTTAGTTACGGCTGACTGCTGGGAATGAAAGAGGGACAGAGATAACTCACCCGCCAGACTGCGGGTGTACTGCTCTCTGTAGCGGTCCATCTGGCTCTTGTGGCTGGCCAGAACCTTCTTCACCAGGTCCAGCATGCCGAAGTTCTGCACTATGTTGTTAAGCAGAACAGCGTCTGAGGAACAAAGCAGAGGAGGGTGACGCACCATCTCAGAAATCAGCTTCCGGGAGAGCCAGCAACAACTGTGTGTCGATTCCGACCTTTGACCTCCACCGGAGGATCACATACTCGCTCCTGCAGCCCCTTCAACATCTCCTGCACCTCTTTCTGGAAGTCCTCCACCACTTCCTCCAAAAGGCCCGCCTCCTTCACGGCCCGCCAGAACACCACAGAGTCCTCTGCAGACCAGACACACACCATGTTATCACTGGGTTATACTGGGACGACTGGCAGGGGCTACGGGGGGGTCTAGGAGCTGATGATCACCTCCGATCGTCGTGACCCACTCTGACGGTTCCTCTGTCACATCTGGTAATGAGATAGCTGCTCCGTTCACTGCGACACAGAATAGGTGGGTTTAAAGAGAATCAGGCAGTGAAGCTTTCTACAGTTTATACATGAACATACGCAAACAATGTTATGAAAAAGTATTTGTTTCAATACACATCTAATAGTTTCAGACTTTTTGTCACAGACGTTTCAAACTCTCACCCCAGTAAAATCCTAACGATGATATGATGCTATTTCAATACGTGGCTATGAGTCTTTAAAATCATCGAGGAAGAATCTGTTTCCATCTTTGTGTAAAGAATTGCATTAATTCAGCCAGGCTGTCCAGAATGTGACCCGTCGCTCCCCCCACAGACTGCTGGATGGGCTCAGACACCAGTTGATGGTTCAGGCCGAGGAACTCACAGTCAGCTGAAGAGGCAGAAGCGGACAGCAGGTCGGAGGGCGGGTCACAGCTGACCGACACCTTGGTTCCCACCAGGTCGATTTTGGTGCTGCGGCAGGTGTTGGAGCACACCTTACCATGCTGATAGAAGTCCAGCTCACCGGAGTCCATGATCTTCCTGGGACAGGAAGACAAATGGGAAGGTCTTCACTGACTGGGGACACAGCTCCACCCTGTGGTGCAACTGTAAATTATCAACATATGAAATTGAGGAAATTGATGATGATGGCATAGGCTTCTTTCAAACTATAAATTTCTATTATCAACATTTCATGATATTTATTTATTTATAACACTGCTGGATGAATCAAATATGACTTAACAGAAATTTGATTTTGTAACTTAACGCCTTGAAACTGAACATGTCTCTTTAAAAGCGACTGCTCTTTCTGAAACTCTGCCTTCAGAAAGTCATTAGAACATCGCTCCTCTATTTACCCTTTAGCATTTTTACCGCCACCACACTGAGAAGCAGCTTGTATAATTAGCTTTGAACCTGGAAACTGCAGCTCAAACATGCATGAAGGAATCAAGCCAACGCTCCAGGCATGTTTTTGATGACAGAATAACGTTACAACGTGACGTAAAGCTCAAAAAGTCTATTTTGCATAATACTGCCACTTTAATATGAATACTTTTCTCTATGATTAGAGAAAAAATCATCTGCAACCTTTTGTAAATGTGCAGCTTAAACTAAAAACCAAGTTATTACTTCTACAGCCCTGCTGCCTTTTTGACATGCCGATTTATCAATTCATGTGTAAATCACAGAAACGTTTCAAACTGACATAATGCCACCAACTAAAGTCCAGACCGGCATTCCCAACCTGAGCATGGTGCCGTTGAAGCGGATAGCTCTCTTCCAGTCCTTTAAGGTGGATTTTCCTGCTAAACATACAAACTCTTTGGGGCTGATGAGTTGATCGGTGAACTAAAAGGAGAAGAACGGATGAGTAAACAGTTCATCGTGGTGAGTGAGCTCATATGTGATTTCGTACGAGTCAGCGGGGCACCTGCACACACTTCACGTTGATCCCAGGACAGACAAACTTCTTCCACACCAGCGTGGCCTTGGCGTCGCCGCAGGTGATCGGGTAGAAGACGTCGGCCTCCACGTCCACCTCCTCAGAAAGCTTCACTGCAGAGACGGAGACAACAGAAGTTATAATATTTACTTGACAAAATCTCTGGAACAGGAAGAGTGCCGTCTGCTCATTCTTCCCGTTACTCAGCGCAGCTCGTTTTTACCAATAACTGCCTCCTCCTTTGACATGGAATCAGCTGTGGCCTCGGTTTCTGCTTCCGCTGGCGCTACAGTGAGGATGTCCTCCCTGGAAGACAGCAGAATGTCTGTAACAGGGACTAGAACTTGGAATCCAGAAAAACTACCCTAGCCACTACTTTTTAGACTCCTATTCTTCCAAACCAGAAAAGAAATTAGGCCAGAAGACTT